AGATATGCTTCAATTTGTTTTTTGACTTGCACACCCGTTATACAGAGTATCCGATAATAAATAAGTTTATCTTACTGTGACGCAATCTCATAAAATATGCATTAGGAAGCGAATTTTTTATTCAAGTATTTAATATCATTATTTAATGTCACATTATTTGTAAGAATTTGGTTGTGCCCTGAAAACGAACACAGACCAAATAAAATGATATTTACCTTTTTTTAAGATTTAACTCGTACATATTAACATTTGAAAACGCGATCTGGCTATGTCAGTTAACTCTCTTCTGCGAAGCTGTGTAATTCTTAACAATATGAGTATATCAGCACACAGCGGGAAAATCTGCGCACTATGACGCAATACATATCACGCACATCAGGTAACGAAGAATTGGAGGAATGACTATAAGTAATATGTGTATATGTGTAATATTATTCCCGCTTCGTTGTATGCCTGGTATAATTGATAAAATATATCAAAGTTTGTTTCCAGGACATTGAGGGAAAATTAGTTCACTATGACGCGATAAATATCACGTATATCAGGCAAAGAAGCATTGGAGGAATGGCTATAAATAATATGTGTATATGTATAAAATTATTTCTGCTTTATTGTATGCCTGGTAATTGATAAAAATATATCAGAGTTCGTTTCCAGGACATGGCGGGAAAATTACTTCACTATGACGCGATAAATATCACGTATACCTGGCAACAAAGCATTGGAAGAATGGCTGTAAGTAATATGTGTATATGTATAATATTATATCTGCTTTGTTGTATGCTTGGTAATTGAAAAAAATACAATCATTTTGTGACCTAGCGTTCGTTTCCAGGACACAATAAAATTTTTATAAATAATACAATATTAAATAGTTGAATGGAGCACTCTCAGCTCGGACATTTATTCTAGTGCGATGAGATCAGTCTATTGTAACATGATATGCATGACGCATATCGCGTCACAATAGACTGTCATCGCTCACTTATCTTCCCATCTAACGCTAATATTCGTGCAGCGAGATTTTATCGTTTTTATATATTATCGAACATCTGTATAATAGGAATGCAAGTCACTTTCAAATTAAATGGATGAATAATCTACATAAAAAATGAAATTCATTTGAGAGAGATTTAGAATAAATGTCCAAGCCGAGTGCTTCATTTATATATTTAATATTGTATTATTGATAAAAATTTTGTTGTGTCCTGGAAACGAACGCTAGGCCACAAAATAATTGTATTTTTTTCAATTACCAGACATATAACGAAATGGAAATAATATTATACATATACACTAATTACACATAGCCATTGCTCCAATGCTTCGTTGTCTGATATGCGTGATACTTATAGCGTCATAATGAACTAATTTTCCCGCTATGTCCTGGAAACAAACGCTAGGCCACAAATGGTTGTATATTTTTTTCAATTACCAGATATACAACGAAGCGAAAATAATGTTATACATATACACATATTACTTATATAACCATTCCTCCAATATGTCGTTGCCTGATATGCGTGACACGTGTATTGCGTAATAGTGGGGCTGATTTTCTCGCCGCGTGCTGATATACTCATATTGTTAAGAATGATTTGTATTGTTAAGAATTACACATATTCGCAGAAGGAAATTAATTAATTATCAGATCTGTTATTATCAGATCGTGTTTTTAAATGTTAATATGTACGTCCAATGAGTTAAATCTAAAAAAAGTGTACATATTTTCTGGGGGTAAATAACCTAACGTTCGTTTACAGGACACAACCAAATTCTCACAAATAATGTAATATTATATAATTACTTGAATAAATAATTTGCTTTGGAATACATTTATCCTGTAATATATAAGTATATTAATGGGTTTTTACATAATATGATTTTTTTATTTAAATTTTCCAGAAAACAATAAATATCTTTTGACTTGCAACCCGTTATACAGAATAATAAGCAAGATCATCTCATTGTGAGGCAATACTTACAGGATAATTTATATTTCGAGGCAAATTATTTAATATCATTATTTAATATCACATTATTTGTTATACTATATATTATATATTATATATATTATACTATATATATTTAATATCACATTATTTGTTATAATAGATAATAATCTATTATGCTCTTGAAACGAACATTAGGCCAGAAAATAATATTTACTTTTTTAGATTTAATTCATTGGACGTATAACTTTTGAAAACGTGATCTGACAACAACAGTTAACTTTCTTCAATAAACCTGAATAATTCTTAATAACAATATTTGTAATTCTTATCAATATGAATATCGGCACACGACGTGAAAATTAGCCCACTATAACACGATACACGCATCTCAGGCAACGAAGCATGGAAAGAATAGCTATAAGTAATATTTGTATATGTATAATATTATTTTCGCTTCGTTGTATGCCTATTAATTGAAAAAATATCCCATTTTGTGGCCTAGCGATCATTTCCAGGACAAAAATAAATTGTAAATAATATGACATTAAACATCCGAGAAACAACGTACCTTCGAGTACATTTATTCTAAGTTTTTTGTTAATGATTTAAAAAAAATTTTTTTATTAATAATTATAAGAGAATAAAATTATTTATATTTGCGCTTACGACTAATGATTGTTTAAAGTCAATAGACAATAATCAATACAAAGGAGAACATTGTATATTAGCAGAAACTTAATTTTCGTCTAAGTATATTTAAGACAAATTTTTAATGAATACACTTTAATTTATAAGTAAAAAAATTTTGTTTTAAGAAAATGTATTTTTTTTAATCTCAAGGAAATTAATGAAACACATGATTAAACGTGCATCATAAAATTTATTCTTTATTAATTATTATATTATACTATTTATATAATTATCCTGTTTTAATTCAGAAACAAATATTCGCAGAACCTACAAATTAAAAAAATCACAGAACTTACAAATTAAAAAAATATAAATCGAATTAAAAAGATATTCGATATCGCGGTCTGCGGGCGAAAAAGTATATATTTTATATGAATTACAAATATTACATAAAAAATTAAAGCTACATATAAATATATAATGTTTTGCAGTACATTGTCTTAGTATAAAAGAAAATTATTTTTAAAAATATAGTTACTTATACGGAAAGAATAGTTACTTTAACATTTACCTCATTTCAAAATATTTAATGTAATTACAAATGTATGTAATTAAGCTGTGCGCTAAGATATAAAAGAGTTCCTAAAAAGTAACATTATAAAATATAAATATAATTACGTAAATGAAGATTAAAGATCTCTAAGTTTTAATGAACACAAAATGGCTTAACGCAATAAAAATAATTAAAAATAAAAGAAAATTTAAAGACTCTAACAATCAGTTTTATTGAACACAAAGTTTCTTAACGCAATAAAAATAATACAAAATAGAAGAAAGTTAAATGTCCCTAAGTTTTAATGAATACAAAGTGACTTAACGCAATAAAAATAATTAAAAATAAAAGAAATTTAAAGTCTCTAAGTTTTAATAAACACAAAGTGCCTTACTATAATAAAAATAAATATGTAAATAAAAATAATTCTTTTACACTTTATCACGTTTATGACTATTCATACACTTTATTACTGTTATACTGATATTACATTTATATATAAATAAACAAAACTGAATAAATACTAAAAAGCGATACTAAAAAACATAGAAACAGATTATTTAGATGTAATATCAGTATAAGTGATAAAGTATAAAAGAAAATTAAAAGTTTTTAAGTCTTAATGAACATAAAGTAGCTTAACATAATAAAAATAATTGTGTAAATAAATATAATTCTGTAATTATATTTATTTATTGTACACAATTATTTTTATTATGTTAAGTTACTTTATGTTTATTAAGACTTAAAGACTTTTAATTTTCTTTTATTTAATGACATTTATATTTTATTGCGAAATTGATTGTGTATCCAAGTTTTTATTGCTGCTGGCTGTCGATTTTTCAAAATGTTTTTGTGCGTTTTGGATATTATTTCCTTTAACGAAGGTAAAGTAGAATTATTAATATTCGTTTCGAAGAGTAATAAAGCTGTTTGCTTTTCTTCAGAAGTCCAACGTATTCTTCTGGTCTTTCCGTAAGGAGGTGCTAAACATAAATTATAATTAAATCTATAAATATATCGTCACAAATTAAGAAAAGTAATTTTAATATTAAGAAAAAGGTATGCATTTCTTTAATGATTTTATATACATGTATAATTGTAATATTATTTGACTTACTGAATCGTTTCTTTTTTGGCGCACATTCTTCATCTGAATTATTTATATTTTCTATGGCGCGTTTTTTTACATTTTTTTGTTTTAGCAAAATTTTCTTTGGCAAATTATTCTCTGATGCTTCGTCTTCAACTATATTGTTAAAAATAAACTTTATGTAAAAAAATATATAATACAAATTTTCTTTTTTCATTTATATATATATGATAGATTATCATATGAAATTGTCGTTTTTGTGTCAAAATAAAAATGTTGTATTTTTAAGGAAATAGATTTTATACACTCAAAATATACATTATTAGCAATAATATTTTTCTGTCTACTTAATATTAAATTGTATATTCCTTTTTTTATTCGAGCTTTTTAAATCGAACGAAATAATCCAATTATCAAATATCAGCAATTCCATATGATACAATCTAATACAATTACTAACAATAAGTATAATATTATAAAAGTATTCTCTAAAATTATAAAAGAATTGAAGAACTTTTAAAATACCTAAGCTTTGAATTTCGTTAATACTATTCTCTGAAGTATTAGCATCTGTTGTACTGTTTGAATTAGTAGTATTAGTATTTGTATTATTAGTAGTGTCAATATCAGTGTTATGTGTAGATATATCTTGAGTTTTCTCTAAAATTTTGGCCATATTTAAAATATCAGATTCTACTACAGGCTGTCTGTAAATATTTTTATGTATATCCTTATGGTGACCCATAAAATCAGCAATGAGAGGAAATTTCACTATCTGGTAAGTGTGAACATTTTGTTGCCATGTCTTTCCGTAAAATAGTCCCACGTAAGCTTTCTTTGTTCTCTGCTCCACATAGATTAGCAAATTCACGCATCAATTTACTCGCTCTTAAATATCTAAATCGTTTTTTATCTGCACCTGGCAATCCAAATATATATGGATTTTTTGAACTTACTCCTGCCAATTTCCGATATCTTAAAATTATGTCTAAAGCCTCTTTCATTTTAGCATTCAAAAGGACTGGGACGTTCCGATTTAGCTTGCCACGAATTGTGAAACGAATGTACTTTAAAGCAGATATTTTTTCTTTTTGTGGTAACCTTTTATATAATTCATCCTCTTTTGTAATTTTTATGAAATTTTTGTAATCAACAATGTAAGCTCTTTCTATCTCTCCTGCACGTCGCCGATTGAAAATTTGAATCATTATTAATATTGCTTCAGCAAGTGATTTCCAAGCACAAAACGTGAATTCATTTTTTATTTCTCGCATGCTAGATACTCTTATTTCTTCTAAATAATTGGTTAACTTTTTGATATCTGATGTTTTCGGAAGATTAACTTTTTTCTTTCGACTGTTTCTAGTCTGTATTTCTGTAACTGTTTTATTAACGGTACTACCATATTCGACTTCTAAAATCTTTAGAAAATTTTTTGCTGATTTTTGTTTTTTGTATTCATGTTGTTTAATAAATTCGTTGATTAAGATCTTACATAATTTTTTTAAACATGTGCCCATAGCTGTAGCATTATATGGTATATCATATGATTCTGTGTCTTCATTATATTTAGCAATTATATTTACTGCTTTTATAGCAATATCATAATATTTCGGGTCAAATAGCATTTGTAATTCTTGTATTGCCGGTTCTATTGATTTTAATACTTCTAAATATCGTCCAAGAAGTCGTAATTGTTGTCGTATGTGGTCTCCTAAATGCTGCAATCTATGAATTTGACAGAGGTAATTTCCGTATAGTATAATTAATAAATCGTACTTTATTAATTTATAAATATTGTCATTTCGCATGACAGGAAGAATGTCCTTTCTTAATTTATGGCTTGCACGATTATGAACAGATTGTGCAGCGCTTCGTGCTAATTTTAATACATTTCGAGTTGTATCTTTCTTCTTAGCACAAATGCGATAATGATGCCTGAGATTATGTATTGCATAATGTCCTCTACACTTAGAACATGGTAAAAAATAAGAACCACATTGCTTCTCTTCTTTAGTAGGTCTTCTTACAACAATCATGGAACCGTCATTTAAATCTGCCTGTGTATTATATTTAAAATTGCCTCTTTTTCTTATTTGACTAATTGCATCTCTTCGCTCTCTAGATTTTTTTGGAAGTAATAAAAACATTTTTACTTCTTCATTTTTATGTTTTAATTCTAGGTGCCGAGCAATTTTACTTTGCATAGTATTGCAGTAAAAGCAAAAATTATATTTTTTATCTCCTTTGGGCCCTTGAGACAATTCTACAAATAATTCATCATCTTTGCATGTTTCTATTTCTTTTTCTAACATATTTTTTTGTTTGCATTTTCTGAAGAATTTGCTAATATGCTAGATTCATTATTTGCAATTTCTAAATCATCATTTATTTCAATATCAGTATGTTCAATATCAGTATCATTTGAACTCTGAATAGATGGTTCATAATCTGAATCTTTATCGCTTACATTAGAAATTTTATTTTTCTCAAAATCTGAAATAATAAACATTTTAAAAGATTTTATTTTAAAAATATATGAATGTTAAAAATATTATGCTTTATTTTTATCAAATTATTCTATCAAATTATAGAAATGCTAAGTAAAGAAAATAATTGAGTAAAATTAATAAATTTTATTTATTGACAATTTAATAAGTTAATACTTAATGAATTTAATTTTTAAAATAACAAATTAAAGTTAAATTATATTTAAAAAGTATACCACATTATTTACATTAAATTAGCTTAATTCAAAAGAATTTATAAACAATATGTAACGCGTCGTCTACAATGAGATTTTTAGACGTAAGACTTAAGAAATTGACCAATACAGTCGAAGAGAGATTATTCTTCTCTAATCTTGTCTGTGATTGTTCAATTTCTTACGTCTTACGTTTTAAAATCTCATTGTAAACGACGCTTAACTACGTAAACTGTTACTTTTTTATTATTGTGAGCGAAGAAAAAAAATTAAAAATTAGTTTATATTATATTTTTAGTTATTAAATTAGTATTAGTTTATATTACCCTACGTAATAATTTGATGGATAAAAATTATTAAATATTTTATTTAAGCTTAATAACAAATCTAAATTTAACTTTTATAATATTGTTCTTTTTAAATATACTGTAAATATACTGTCTTTAGCGAAACCAATATTGCGAACATAATTAAATACTTTTTAAAGGAACAAATTAATAAAAATATACATACCTGTATTTTGCGAGACATTTTCAATTTGTGAGTTACTGCAATATAATTTATTGTCATTGTTATTTATATCGTTGTTTATAGAAGAATTCTTAACTCCGTTTAAATCACAAAATGGTACTATAGTGCTGTCCAGTTCAGTATTTTCAGTGATAGATGTAAACGTGGATTTATTTTCAGCTAGTACTTCGTGAATCATTTCTTCTCCATTATTATTATTTAAATTTGTACCACAATTTTTCAAATTATTTTTTTCAAAATTTTTAATTAGACATGTAATTAAAAGTTAAATCGGATTCAATTCCTATTACTCACACTGTTTTTTTTTTATTTATGCAAATTAGAATATTTATTTATGTAAAATAAAATTAATTTAATAATTTTGTTTTTTCTTTTTGCACTTACAATTTTTTTATACAGATACACAACTGTATAATTTTTATTTTATATAATCTTATTTTATTTAGATTGCACCTAATATAAAATAAAGCAAATAAAACGCTATTGCAAAAGTTAAAATAAAAGTTAAAAAAATATTAAATTAATTGTTTTACATAATTAAATATTCCAACTTGCATAAATGAAGAAAGTGCCAGTGACAGGAATTGCACCCGAGTCAACAACATGATAACCGCGGACTTTATAGTGAATGTACTACTCCAACTTCTCGAAAATCAATTTAACCGAGCCGAATATAAAAATTGCCATATATTGTTTAAATAATTTTTCTTGAAAATAATTAATTGTAAGGTTTACCCCTATCCCTTTACTGGCAAAATATTTTTATTCTTATCTCAAATATTTATAGTAAGTCATCTCTATATGACTTTTGGGCTGGAAAATAAATAATAAAATATTTTAATAAAAAGCAAATTAAAAAGATATGTACATAATTTTTTGATATATTGTCTATAAAGTCAACGTCATAAAAATTATAACCCCGAATCACGCGAACGCTACGCGCGAAAGGCGAAACCTCGTGCCTGCAGCCGCACGAGTCCACGAGACGCATCGGTGAAGTGAGACAAAGCCAGAGCGATGGATCGTTGGTCCTTGTCTGACTCAGCTGTTCGGTTCTCAACTTGGTTCTTAACTGAATATTTCGGACATGAACCATATCGCGGAATCGAACCATTTACCGTACCTTTTACCGAGTGTCACGACGTAGTTTATGTCCACTTTGTCAAGGGGCGTACTAGTACACGCAGCCGGTGGCCGCTCTCAGGTTTCTCTCTGGCAAAGAATATAGACGAGTATACTTCTTCTTCTTCTTCTTCTTCTTATTTGGCTGTTTGAGCTTTTATTAGGTTTGTTCGCGTCGTATACCCCAACTTGCTCCTTTTTACTTCAATGCGCTCGTATTGGTCCAATTCGAGGAGCGCACCAATACGAGCGCATTGTAGTAAGAAGGAGCATGTTGGGGCACGCAAACAAACTATTAACTCATATACCATTTATTGACTGTAGAGATTAAGTTGATTGATTCGGTCTGTATATACAACGGACCAAGTATAAAAAAAAAATTTTTTTAGACGGAACACGTCTGAACACGTTGGCTGCTCTGTGGCAACTATATAATAGACGAGTATAGAAGCACGGTCACAGTTTATCTATAACCAGTTACGACAGTCAGCGAAATTTTGCGTACAATATTTGAGGGCGCATGTGCCAACTGTACTATCAAAAATATGGCGGCACGCACATATGACGCGTGTACCTAATCTGCGGTCTTTTGGATAAAGCAAGGAGCACTCTTGTATAAGCGCATAAGCATTTGCATAAGAAATTCGATTGGTTGAATTTTTTATGTATACGTTTATAGACCAATCAAGATTCTTATGCTTACGCTTATGCGCCTATGCAAAAGTGTGTGCTCCCCGCTTAAATTAGTACAGCCCAGAAAATCCCATTATGGTTCAAGCCATAATGAGATTTTCTTGTGTGTTAAGGGTCGGCAGGCGACATGGTGGAGACGCCTATCGGCCGGCCGGGAATTACGGATTCTTATTTTCCAGATATTAGCGAAAATATTGAATGAATCTTATTAAATTTAGGATATTCTTAATCAGTAAGCTCATTTGTAGTCCTCTAAAGAGCTATTTTATGAAAAAAAGATAAAAATAAAAATTTTTAATAAACTTGGGGGAATGCACAGCTAGGAACGGGTAAGGTTGGGTTAGCCGCGAGTCCGTATTTTATTTATTATAAATTTTTAAGAGCGAAAATGTAAAATCCGGCCTTTTAGAGGACTGCTTTATTATATAAAGAATATATTAAAAAAAAATTCACGAAGTTATGTCACTTATTTTATGAAATATCTGGACGATAAGATTCTCACTAGATTCATAAGGAGCAGGGGAAATTTCTGTGGTAACATGCTGACTGCTTGACAAGGAGAGAGCATCATTCCATCTTTGTCTCTCTTACATCGCATATGTAGTAGCGTTCATGTAGGTACAAACACTAATACGTGAGCACACGGATGCAAATATTGAGAGATAATGTCAGCAAAAAGGCTATCATATTATTTTTATTTTTTTGTATATGTATGCATATGTAAATAAAGAACAAAAATAAAAACTATTTTAAGATGACATTTTATAATTAATTTTCTATATGTATTTGCATTTTATTAATATGTATTACATTTTTGATATGTTTTTAATTTATAATTTATATAAACATAAGTATGAAATAAAAATTGAAATAGTTCTGAAAATAAGTATATTAATGATAAAATTATTCAAAACAATAAAAAAATTAAATTTAATATTTTTTAGTGTTTGTACCTACATGGACGCTACTACATATGCGATGTAAGAGAGACAAAGATGGAATGATGCTCTCTCCTTGTCAAGCAGTATTAAAAGCCATATTAAAAGCTCTAGCTTCATTCAATTAATAATCCAATATAATAATCAACAATTATTTTTATATAATATATAGTATTTTTAAATATTTTTAAATATTTAAAAATATTTTTTTAAGATTAATTGAGGAAAAGAATATTTTAAATATAAAAAAATATTTTAAATATTCTTTTTCAATTAATTTTTAAAACAAATTTTTAAAAATATTTTTATATATTCAAATATTTATTATATTATATAAAAATTATTGTGAATTATACTCATTGGAGTAATAATTATTGATTAAAGCTTGTTATGGCACAAACTGAACATCTTGTACATTGTCTGTATAATATTTTACTTATTTATAAAATGTTTTTTATAAATAAATGAAATATTATATATATAATATATAAGATTATAATATATAAGATTATTGATGTTACATTGTATAACTCTCATTTCTTTCTCTCTGCTACATAAGTACTTATGACGTGAAAGAACTTACGAGTAACGTATGATGGCTCAATGCAAGAATATTTAATCACGTAAAAAACTTGAGTTCAAATATATCAATATCAATTTTTTTATAATATATTGGAATATAGAAAATCATAGAAATATATTTTTTATATAGGCGATAAACTTAAAAATTTGATATTGAAAATATTTTAATCATTTTACAACTACACATACTATAAATATATAAATGCAAAATAATTCCGTAAATAAATTTCAAGTAATAAATCAATTGCACACATGCACACAGCTGGTATGTAGATTTTTATTAAATTTATTTTCTGAATTATTTTACACTTATATATAGTGTATGTAGTAAAAATATTTTCAATATATTAAAAAATTTTTAAATCGCCGAAATATATTTTTTTATCATTTTTCTATATTCTAATATATATATATATATATTATAAAAAAATTGATATTGATATATTTGAACTCTAATTTATATACTGGATGATATACTGAACATCCTTGCATTGATTATACATTACTCAACGTTCTTTCACGTTATAAGTATTTGGAGCAAATTATACAATAGCATCAATAATCAAAAAGAAATCAAGAATATAATCAACATATCCCTTATATAATATATATATATATATATATATATATATATATATATGTTATATATATACGTTATGCACATATGTGCATAACCATATATACTTCCAAAAAGTGGGTGCTTATTAGTCTTGCTACGTTACTGCTTTCTGCTACGGAAGGCCAGAAAGCATTTTCAGGCGGCATCTCGCGTATACCGGCACGGTAGATGAACAAGGAGAACACGTGATTATCGGTCCTTGTCTCTCTTACGTGCGTCCGCGTGAGCGATGCAGTTGGTGTATGTACGTGTACAGACATACACCACTACATAAAACCCGAGAATTGGTTTCTCGGCGTTGGCAACACTGAAACCGGAGTTTCGCGTTGTCACCGCACGAGGTCTCTAATATCAATTCGGAGTTTGCCTGGGTGTACTGCCGACCCTTAATGTGTAAAAACATGTCTGGACGAAGTCCAGGAATACAATTTTTTTGGTTTCCAAAAGATTCAGAAATGCAAGTTAAATTTTTATTGTAAATAATGTGATGTGATACTTTTATGTTTCTATTTTAATTTTAACTAATATAGATATATTGATTAAAAGGTCTCTCTCTCTCTCTCTCTCTCTCTCTTTATATATATATATATATATATATATATATATATATATACATATATATATATATATATATATATATATATATATACCCAGTAGGCAAAAAATCATTGCTACAACATTATTATTGCTGCCAAGTATGTAGTTTTTAACATTGCATGCAACATCATTATGAACAAATTTTGAATTGATTTAGAGGTTTCAATAATGTTAAAATTAACATTTTTAAAATATTTTATTAATATTTTGAGAGCATTATGTTATTAAATAATATTTTTAAAACATTTATAAAACATCAGTTAAAATATTTTTTAGAATATTTATTAATAATATTTTAAACATATTTATACAACATTATATCATAACCACAATCTCCACTTGATTCCTCTCGACCAATAGAGCCAAACGCGATGTTATTGCGACAATTATGAAGGAAAGAACATTTTGGAAAGGAATTTGAATCCTATGGTTGGGATCTCAAAAATTCCCCCTGTTCCTTCTCTTAACATCCCCTGTAAAGAAATAGGCGAGAAAAATATTGGTCCGAAAAATGTTCTTTCCTTCATAATTGTCGCAATAACATCGCGTTTGGCTCTATTGGTCGAGAGGAATCAAGTGGAGATTGTGGCTTTAAAAATTAAAAGAGCTGACTAAATAAGTATTCACATTATTATTATATCATAACGTTTGGAAAATTTAT